TGTTCGTCGCATGGAAATAAAATGCCCGTATTACTTTAAGGAAGAAGCGGCGAGCATAAAAAGTGCGTTTACTGTGAAAAATAAATGTTCGGCAAGGGTCGGTTGTACATTTTTTTTTGTTTGTTTTTTTGTTTTGTTTTTGTATTAAGACTTCAACATGATATTTCCAAGTTGCGAGATTGAGCTCGGTTGAAAGAGAAAATGTGATTTGGAGAGAAGAGGAAGATGATAAAAACTATATATATATATATATATATATATATATATATATATTTATCGGAGCAGCGATCGTATAATCATTTTTCATTAAAATAAAATTTCGAGTTCGTTGATAGGTCAGATACGGGATGGCGAGCCAAGAAAAGCTACGGACGTGTAAAGGATTCGAGCACGTCGCAAAAAGAGAGACGCCCGTAAGAAACTCGCGCGCATATGCAAGCCACTCGACTCGTTTTATTTTTATTCACTCGCACGGCAGCGACGCGATTCGAATGTATAACGGTACTCTTCGCAACCAAAGACGTTTACAATATTTATCCTTTCTCGAGGCTTCGTCCAGCCGTTTAATACCAAATAGTACGTATAAAATAACTACAAGATGCCATAAAGGTATCTCCGGCAAGACGAGGGTCCTCTCTTCGTAATAATATGAAAATCGATTTTGAGATTCGCTCGGTCGCTGAGATGTATTAATGCCGAGCGACTAATAATAACTCGTCAACTATCTTTTCATCCATATAAATATTATGTTCTGTCTAAAACAATATACCGGTGGGTGTGTGAGTTTGTGCGTGCGTGTTTATACATACCATATCATAGTTTGTATTATCTTGGAAATATTGTGAAAGGGTTGGTCGATGTATAATACAATATTTAACTAAAACTGACGATACTTGTTGCAAATAACTTTGTAGAGCGAGCTTAAATGCCTAAGCAGCATAAAATTAATCACGCGAATATCATTTGACAGGTATTCTTAGCTCGAGAAATATTTATGAAACTAATAGAAATTGCCTATGCGGTTTAACGTATGCGTATGTTTAATGGGCGGCCTAATTGCGTGAAAGTTCGGTTATGAGAAATTCCCTGCAAAAGCTTGCCCATAGAAGTATGAAATGTACTTTTACAAATAATGGCACTGGCTTCGAGAGAAACTATTGAGAGAGAGAGAGAGAGAGAGAGAGAGAGAGAGAGAGAAATTATTGCAAGTCCGTTGAGTTATCGAGTGAAAGGTGAGTTGGCGATAAGGATGCAGTTGGCTAAGTCGTTGGATTTATTTGTCGATCGGTGTCGTTGGATTTCGTTATTTGAGCGTGCGTCGCCGAATATTGGATTAGTTGCGATGATGCTCTTGATTTGTGGGAGAGCAATCGGGTGCTAGGAGATCGAAATAAATTGCATAATAATCCATCGAATAAACAGCGTCTTGGTGTCGCTCCCCTCGATACAGATTCGTTTATACGGCGAAAGGGTGACACGGAGGTACTTTGTTCGTTAAAAGCGTGAAGGAGCGGATGAGCGCGTTTGTTACAATTTTAACGTATCCATGGGCTATTTAATGAGGATAGCAGGATAAAGTAAAAATATGAAGAGATGGGTAGAAAAGAAATAAAGGTAGTGGTGAGATTTTTACGCCGCGAGGAGGTACAGAAACACGCATGTGCACCCAATTTCCCCAAGAACGCGGAGAAAGTCAATATATTCTCGGAGGCTTGGAGTTGACGCGCTACACGAGGAATCCTTTCGACTCGCTCCTGTTCGTCGACGAGTAAAACGGCGAAGCTCAAAGGGGTCGGGGGAAGGGCAGAGATACACACACGCGCGCGCACGCACGCACGCACGCATATATATATATATATATATGAGAGAGAGAGAGAGAGAGAGAGAGAGAGAGAGAGGGAGAGAGAGAGAGAGAGAGAGAGAGAGAGAGAGAGAGAGAGTGAGTGAGTGAGTGAGTGAGTGAGTGAGCGAGCGAGCGAGAAAAGACGTAGGGAGCAGAGAGCGGTGCCTCTTTGGTTTTCGGGCCCGCTGCTTCGCCCGAAAGGAATCTCCTCGATATAGAGGGCGATAATTTATGCAGGTTGTTTTGCTCGGAAACGCGATTATTGTTATTGGTCATTTCGCGGGAATCGCTCGTTGGTTCCTTTTTTCTCTCGTTTTTTCCAACCGGAGCGGGCAAGGACAGCCGGAGGGAGTCGCACGCACACGACAAGAGTTAAGGCGCGCTCGCGCTTCGTGTGGGAGATGGAGCGAGAGAGGAGAATGCGAGTGCGAGTGCGAGTGCGAGTGGCCGCGCGTCTTTGTTGAGAAAAGGCTGGGCGCACGGCCATTCGAAAGTCAATATATGGCCCGCGCACTCACTCGCGCACGCATTCACGCACAGAGGCGGAGGCGCGAGCGCGGATGCAGCGCGAGAGGCGGTCGCACATATATTATTATGCGGCTGCAACACGAGGGCCCGGCTACGCGCGCTCTAATGATGATCTACGGCCAGCTACCGCGCACAGCTTCTATAAACTTCCTAATTTCTCTTCTATAAATTCGTCCGGGGTCAGCGTGCGTGCGTGAGTGAGTGCACGAGTGGGTTAGTGCGCGAATGCGCGCGAAACAGAGACAGACGCTTTGGTAGGGCTAGATATAGATATATAATGAGATGGAATGAGATATAATGATATAGAATGTGATAGATAGAGAGAGTGAGCGTGGGCGGCGGTTGTGGTATGGGACGTGGATGGGGTGGGGCAGGGTGGTGATGGGGTGTTGTCGGGTAGGGGAATGGGGTGGGGGAGGCGGATAGGGCACAGGAAAGAGCGGAGATGCGGAAAAAGTGAGGAAA